AGCATCTTTTAATTTCACCATAGCTTTGACTAGATGGACCTTTGTTGGCAAAGTAATGTCTCTCCTTTGTTTTTAAAGGTTTCAAGTTGAATAGCCACACTCGCTCCAAATGCAAAAAGCAGGTACATAATGTTCCATATAGTCAGGAGTTTTCTGGTGTTCTCAGGTTTTGGGCTTAAGTCTCCTGCCTCTGGATTTCAGTTTTATTCTTCCAGTAGTCTCAAGACTTCTCCAACTATACAGCACTGATAATAAAACTTCTAGGTTAATGGTGAAAAGATTCTCCCCCATGAGAGACACCCAGAGAGGTTCACAGAGTTACATGAAGGAGAGGAGAGGGAGGAAGGAGATAGAGGTGAGCAGGAGGAGAGAAAGGGGGACTCAAGAGGAGAGAGACAGATCTACGCAGTTGTCTGTTCCCAGAGTGTTCTCCGTAGCACAGACACCCACAGAGATTCACAGAATTGGATTGGGAAGAGAAGGGGAAAGGAGGAAATAGAGGTGTTCTGAGGTAGAAAACAGAGAGTCAAAAGTGGGAGAGTAATCACCACACTCCTGAATAGAAATGGGAACTGAATATTGGATTCTTAAATGTCCAAAATTTATATCACATACTGAAAAACAAAGATTAAAAATCCAGAGTAGAGGTTAGACTCTTAAAAATACAATATTAAAAACAAAAACAAAAACACAAAATCTTTTAGAAATATATGTGAAGTTCGGTTTAAAAATAGGGCTTCTCTTTTTTTTTTTCAAGGTTATAGTGAAATGAAAATGAAAATTAAGGAGTAGCAGAGGAGTAATAGGGGATTTTAAAAGGAAATAAGAGAAAAAGAAAAAAAAAGAAGAAAAAAGAAAGGTAAAAAAAAGAGAAAAAAAATTCCCTAATTAAAAAAATCATAAAAATCTATGAAAATGAGTTAAGGAGTGGAGTAATGAGGGAGTAATAGGGAATTTTAAAAGAAAATAAAGGAGAAAAAATAAAAAAGAAAAGAAGACAAAAAAATTTTTTTAATTAAAAAAAAAAGTAAAAATATATCTAGGAATTTCTCTGGAGTGTTGCGGCCAGTGTGGGTTCGGTTCAGTTTCAGATAGCTCCCCGTTCCAGCTTACACTTCTCGATATCTATAGGCCCCTTCCAGTATAGTCGGTGTAACCTACAGGGATTTTAATCTGTTGCACCGGTCCCTTCTGAAGCGGTCCCCTTTGTTTATTTGGCTTCTGTTTGCCGGTCTCTTCAGTGCCTAATTTCCACCCTGACGCAGGTGGGCAGAGGTGGTCTCTTGTTCAGGTTGCTAGTTTCATCACACTGCGGGGAGGGACGGGCGCTGCTTTCCCCTCTACGCTGCTCAGGCTCCCGGCTGCTCTATATGGAGCGTGCACTGCACTGCGTGCGGTTCCAGCTCTCGGGTGTTCCACAAAAGTGTGGACTCAGCTGCGCCTGCGTTTTGTGCCTTCCCCGGCCCGAGCAGCTCAGGCAGCCAGGAGCTTGACGGGCGCACTATCCCCAGGTGCGGTGCACCTTCTCCCCTCTGCAGTCCCAGCCTCAGTTTCTGCCCGCACCAGTCAGGTGCATGCGCCCTGTGTCTAGCCGCAACCCTCCCGGCAGGTGTTGCCCATCCAGAATCTCAGGAAGTCTTTGGTTAGAAACTGGAGGCCTGTTTGCAGTGTGGTAGGGGATGCAGTCCTTGGGGCCGAGCCTGAACCTATGGACACCTTATCTTCGACAAAGGAGGCAAGGATATACAATGGAAAAAAGAAAACCTCTTTAACAAGTGGTGCTTGGAAAACTGGTCAACCACTTGTAAAAGAATGAAACTAGAACACTTTCTAACACCATACACAAAAATAAACTCAAAATGCATTAAAGATCTAAATGTAAGAACAGAAACTATAAAACTCCTAGAGGAGAACATAGGCAAAACACTCTCTGACATGAATCACAGCAGGATCCTCTATGACCCACTTCCCAGAATATTGGAAATAAAAGCAAAAATAAACAAATGGGACCTAATGAAACTTAAAAGCTTTTGCACAACAAAGGAAACTATAAGCAAAGTGAAAAGACAGCCCTCAGATTGGGAGAAAATAATAGCAAATGAAGCAACAGACAAAAGACTAATCTCAAAAATATACAAGCAACTCCTGAAGCTCAATTCCAGAAAAATAAATGACCCAATCAAAAAATGGGCCAAAGAACTAAACAGACATTTATCCAAGGAAGACATACAGATGGCTAACAAACATATGAAAAGATGCTCAATATCACTCATCAGAGAAATGCAAATCAAAACCACAATGAGGTACCATTACACGCCAGTCAGGATGGCTGCTATCCAAAAGTCTACAAGCAATAAATGCTGGAGAGGGTGTGGAGAAAAGGGAACCCTCTTACACTGTTGGTGGGAATGCAAACTAGTACAGCCACTATGGAAAACATTGTGGAGATTCCTTAAAAAACTGGAAATAGAACTGCCATATGACCCAGCAATCCCACTTCTGGGCACAGACACCGAGGAAACCAGATCTGAAAGAGACACGTGCACCCCAATGTTCATCGCAGCACTGTTTATCATAGCCAGGACATGGAAGCAACCTAGATGCCCATCAGCAGACGAATGGATGAGGAAGCTGTGGTACATATACACCATGGAATATTATTCAGCCATTAAAAAGAATTCATTTGGATCAGTTCTAATGAGATGGATGAAACTGGAACCCATTATACAGAGTGAAGTAAGCCAGAAAGATAAAGAACATTACAGCATACTAACACATATATATGGAATTTAGAAAGATGGTAATGATAACCCTATATGCAAAACAGAAAAAGAGACACAGGTGTACAGAACAGACTTTTGGACTCTGTAGGATAAGTCGGGAGTGGGATGTTTTGAGAGAACAGCATCAAAACATGTATATTATCTATAGTGAAACAGATCACCAGCCCAAGTTGGATGCATGAGACAAGTGCTCCGGCCTGGTGCATTGGGAAGACCCAGAGGAATTGGGTGGATAGGGAGGTGGGAGGGGGGATCAGGATAGGGAATACATGTAACTACATGACTGATTCATGTCAATGTATGACAAAACCCACTACAATATTGTAAAGTAATTAGTCTCTAACTAATAAAAATAAATGAAAAAAAAGAGAAAAAAAAGCAGGTACAATTTAACTCAACACAGAAGCTTGTGTGCAAGGTTAGGAGAATCTGAGGCATTGTATAGAACGTTAGGTTAAAGATGATACTGTGGTTTTCTTTTGTGTGTGTTTTGAGGGTGTGGGTCTTCCTCTGTCACCTGAACTTAGCAAAGAAATGGTTGTCCTAATGAAATATCAACAGCTGACCCACAGAAAAATGGGCAAATTCTAAAAATTGAAAAAAATAAGCATAATTTTAAAAAAATGGTCACTGCTTCCTCCCTCTACATTTTGCTTTCTAAAATTTGCGTGTGTGTTTTTTAAAGTTTTTGATCCTTTTTTTTTTTTTTCTAATCCTGAAAAGTAGAGAGTAAAACAGCTCCTGGAAGAATTTACAACCAATTGCATGAGAGTCTGGAGTCTGGGAAGATGAAGTACCCTCACAGGGCTGGGAGGAGAAGACAGGAAGCACCCCCCACCCCACCCCCAGCCCTGTAGTCTCACTGTAGGACCAAGGAGGGGGACACAGAAGGAGGAAGGGGGGAGGAGGAAGAGGAGAAGGGGAGGGGGACAAACAGAAAATAAAAGGCAGGTCACCGCTGCCTGTTTGAATCCAGAGGAAATGCGCAGCCCTGTGTGGGGGAAGAGCCCCACAGAGCAGAGGCAGCCCTGGGGTACCCTGACCCAGCACCTCGGGACCCGGTGGGAGTGGACGAGGAGGGTCCAGGCGGGCACTGGTAGAGGAAGCTGGCAGGGGCCGTCAGGACTCGCCAGCCGCTGTGTGCCTGTGCCCCTCGTGTGTTCCTGGAGTAGCTCCACAGTCACAGTTCCCTGGTACGGTGGCCGCCGGCCCTAGTTCTGATAGTCCTGGTTCCACTGCTGGTTGTACTGTTGACCCTGGTTGCAGTCACGCTGAGGGTAGGTCTGTGCCGCGGGGGGGTAGTAGGGGATGCAAGGGGCTGGGTTGCAGCCCTGCAGCTCGCATAGTTGTAGGCAGGTGGTGGCAGAGGTGAGGTGGTGGGGCTGTGTAGCTCTGGCTTCACCCTCCCTGGTTGTAGGGAGGTGGTTGGCTGTAACTCGGCAGTGGAGGGCTGTAGCTGCTGACCAGAGGGGTGTTGGTATTGGCGCTGGAGCAGGGGGTGTTGCAGCTGGCCCCTGGAGGGTTTGGAGCAGGGCCGTAGGTGGGTGGCGGTTGAGGCTGCTGTGGGGGAGGCTGTTGCTGGGGAGCCCGGCTGTAGCTGCCTCAGTTGTTGGAGTTGCTGTTGCCCCCTGGTTGTTACCCCGGCAGCTGTGGCTGTAGCCACCACCTCCACTACGGTTGAGATCTCCTGGGTAATTGCCTCCTGCACTGCAGCCTCCTCTTCAGCTCTGGAAGCCTCCTCGGTTGCCCCCTCCCGGGACCTCGGTTATCACAGCGCTGGGAACCGCCGCCACCACCGCGGCCCCAGGAGCCACCCCGCCTCGGTGGTCAGCGCTCCCCTCGGGGGTGGTCCCGCCCCACGGCCTTCCTCACTCAGCTGCCTCGCCAGCCTGTCTGCGGCCTCTCTCCGCGGCTCAGTGAACAGCACCTCCTCCAGGAGGTCCCCAGCATCAGGCAAGGAGAAAGCCGGCTTTCATTTCTAACAGCGTGTGATCCTGGACATCCGTCCCTTCTTCTGCAGTCTGCTTTATTGTTCTGTCTTTCAGGTCTTGCTCAGTAGGACAAATTCCAATAGCTTTCCACTGGAAGCCTTTACATGGTCTCATTTTTCATCTCCAGGCTGACCCATAAGCATTCGTCTGATCTAGGCTATAGCTGAGCTTCTTGCGGGCAGTGATCTGGACCAGGCAGTCGGGCGTTGGGTGGTGGCTGGGGGCATCAGGACTGTGCAGTGGCCCGTGTGGTTCCACTGAGGCCTAGGCCTATTACCTGCGTCTCATCCACGATGGCGCTGCCACCCAGAAGGTTGAGCTTCTTGAAGGGGCTGCAGGCTGCGCATTTGATGGCCCATGTGGTTTTGCCGGCGGCCAACAGGCCCGTCAGCATCAGAATCTCACACTCCACCTTGCTCTTTGGTCCGACGGTGCCCGCGTTGTGCTCACTTGGGGAAGGGTGCCGGATGAAGGTGAAGCCTGGCAGGACGGCACAGTAGGGCTTGGCCCATTGCCCAAAGTTGAACGCCACTGCACAGTTCTTCACCAGGACGTGAGGGTGGAGGTCCTGACCCCCTAAGGCTTCCTTCTGGATTCGGAAGGCAGTGCCTATCCACTTCCCAGTTTTGGTGAAGGAAAGTTCCATGTCGTTTCCACATTCAAAGTCCACAAAGCAGCCGGTTACATCTTTCTCTGCAAACTTGTCTCCAGATTTCTCAAAGAGGCTATTGGTGAACTTCTTCTGAGTGCCTTCGTAGCCACAGGAGAAAGGTGCTCTGCCTAGCTGAGTGCTGTGGGAGTCCAGAGACCAACCAATGTGGAACACGTGTGGGTCAGGCTCCACAGACGGAAGGTGCGTCACAGAATTTTCTTTATGCATCTTCATCTCAAAGCACACACGGCCCCTCTGACCCCATAGCTGGTATGGGCTCCTGACCGCATGTATGCAAAACCTTCAGCTGTGGGCGAATAGCCGCTACTCTGTCCTTGGACCACCTTGAAGTGAAGGTTGCAGTTATAGATGTCAATGGCCACCAGGGTGTCCTCTCAATGAATGAAAGTCATCTTCACCATCTTCAGCCGGAAGCTGAGGAGATCGCCCCCTCCTATCCTCGCAGTGCTCAAAGTACCCCCGTCCCCAGTTTTTCTCATAAGGCCTCTTGCGACGCTGGGGTTGTTGTCTGTCTAGTTTGTGTTGAGATGATGCTTCGGGTGGGAAGAAGCTGGTGGGTGCTTCTTGCTTCATCTCTGTCTTTACTTCTGGGCGATAGGCCATTTCCAGCAGTCTCCTCTTGTTGCCAGACTCATTCTCTGGCTTTACGGCCTGCATCTCATAGAAGTGGTTCTGCATGGTAATATTGTCCATGACATCTCGTTGCTTTGCCAGGTCACCCCAGTTTGTCAGCGGCCTCGAGCTCCCACCCGTCGTCGGGGTCCTCGGCCTTCAGTGCTGCCTGCAGCCACTCAGCAAGCTCGGCCTTGATGCAGCGAGTGTCTGGGCTGCGGTGCTGCAGCTCCTTGTTAAGTTCGTTCATCTTCAGACACCGCACATCCATGACCTGGGCTCCCAGGGCTCTGTTCCCCTTGAACGTTTCTTGGCAGCAGGTGAAGAGTAAGCAGGGGAAGGGGGGGGGGTGGGTAGCTCACTCCAATGGTGGAAGCTTCTCTGCTTTTTAATATGCTTTTTCATAGCTTTTCTTCCAAGGAGCAAGCATCTTTTAATTTCAAGGCTTCAGTCACCATGTGCATTGATTTTGTAGTCCAATAAAGTCTCTCACTGTTTCCATTGTTTCCCCATCTATTTGGCATGAAGTGATGGGACCAGATGCCATGATCTTAGTTTTCTGAATGTTCAGTATTAAGCCAGCTTTTTCTGTCTCCTCTTTCACTCTCATCAAGAGGCTCTTTAGTTCTTCTTAGCTTTCTGCCATAAGGGTGGTGTCATCTGCATATCTGAGATTATTGATATTTCTGCTGGCAATCTTGATTCCAGCTTGTGCTTCATCCAGCCCTACGTTTTACATGATGTACTCAGCACATAGTCACTAAGTCCTGCCTGGCCCTTGCAACCCCATGGATTGTAGCCTGCCAGGCTCCTCTGTCCATGAGATTCTCCAGGCAAGAATACTGGAGTGGGTGGCCCTTTCCTTCTCCAGGGGATCTTCCTCATCCAGGGATTGAAACTTGGTCTCCTGCATTGCAGGCAATCTTCCCCTGTAGCTCAGTTGGAAAAGATTCTCCCTTCAATGAAGAAGAAACTTGGGTTCAACCCCTGGGTCAGGAAGATTCCTTGGAGGAGAAAATGGCAACCCACTCCAGTATTCTTGCCTAGGAAATCCCATGAATAGTGGAGTCTGGTGAGCTACAATCCATGAAGTCACAAAGAGCCAGACAAGACTGAGTGACTGAACATGTATATATATACACACACATACAGATAGGCTTCCCTTGTGGCTCAGCTGGTAAAGAATCTTTCTGCAATGGAGGGACCTAGGCTTGATCTCTGCATTGGAAAGATCCACTGGAGAAGGGAAGGGCCACCCACTCCAGTATTCTGGCCTAGAAATGCCATGGACTGTATGGATTCTCAAAGAGTTGGACATGACTGAGTGGCTTTCACTTATTTAAAGATACACTTATATTATGAATGCACATATACTATGTTTATATATATATATGTACATTATCTCTTTTAGCTTGTAGATTAGCTTAATGCTTTTACCTTAAGACATTGTTATACCTAACACAAAAATTACTTCTAATATTTAAAATATTCCTTCATTCTCCACGGAGGTGGAAAAGACAGTTCCTTTTAGTTGGTGTCAAAAATCAAAGGCAAATGTTTTTGCTTATGGGAAACACCTAAATATGATATATTGATCAAGATTTCCTTAGGTGTAATCATTTTATGAAATCATGATCCAATTAAATTTAAATTCTAGCACATATTCTTAGAGTATGCATTATGATTTATTGAACTAATATTTATTACAACAGAGCAAGGATAGTTCAATTTAGGAAAAATATCAATATGTGTTTTTTTAAATAAACAAATTAATGTTTATAAAATGGTATGATTGTTAAGATGCTAACAAGTCATACAAAAATTCTGGTAGTCATATCTAATTTCAATTTCAATTTTAACTGGGTAAGAAACAAATGAAAACTAAATATAATCAAACTAATCAGCCCACCCAAAATCCATCTAGTAACTGACCAAATAAAAATGAATACAGACACAATGATTAAAACAAGAAAAGCTAAATGCATGCCTATTATTTTGGCCAATGTTTAGCTATGTTCTGGAAGTATGCTGATGTTTAGAGAAACAATGATGATTCAGATACTTTTAATAAAACTTATAGAAGGTGGTCCCCACATGAATGGACAAACTTCAGATGTCAGGTAATCACTGTGCATTTGACCTCAGTTTTGTGTCATAGTAGCAAATTTTGTAACACAGGGAAGTCACACATTACAAAATATAAACGTTTTACTGTATGATAGTACCAACGAATAAAAATAGTTTTTAAAATCCCATTATGGTAGTGGAAATAATATAAAATGGGAAAACTTATGCAGAATATGTAGAAAGCCTCTGCATAAAAAGAAAAAAAAATTATTAAAGTAACTAAGGATCTTTGAATTACATGGAAAAAGATACAGTTTTCCTGAATTTGATGATGTAATATAAAAATGTAAATAACTTTTACTAATGTTCAATTTTACTAAAATTATAATCATAATTTACAAATGGTTTCTTGGAATTCATAAAAAAAATGGATTCATAAATTTAAAAGGAATATATTTCTGAGACTTTCCAATTGATTTTGAAATATAAACCATATTTAAAATAATGCCAGCATAATGAAATAAATTGCCATTATAAAGTCATGTATTCTTAAATGCATTTTATGTACATAATTATGCATATCTTTGGATTTCCCCCCAGAACTTCATTAATTATGAATAAATCAATTAGTCATCATTCCCAACATTTTTTTACAGTTGTGATTGGAATCAATTATATAGATTCTTCCTATTTTTTATTTAATCTTTTATTGTTTTAAAAATGAAATAGAAAATTTAAGAAGAATTTATATGACTGTTTTTAGTGAAGGCCCAATAAAGGAAGGCAAGAAATATAAAAGCCAGGAAAGAAAATATTAATCAATTTTTTCAGTGTGAAAGAAGATCAAGCCAAAATCAGTAGATAAATTATAGTAGAGGCTAAATTCTATGATATATACTTGATCTTTTTTTCCATTTATTTTTATTAGTTGGAGGCTAATTATTTTACAATATTGTAGTGGTTTTTGCCATACATTGACATGAATCAGCCATGGATTTACATGTATTCCCCATCCTGATTCCGCCCCCCCCCCACCTCCCTCCCCACCATATCCCTCTGGGTCTTCCCAGTACACCAGGCCTGAGCACTTGTCTCATTCATCCAACGTGGGCTGGTGATCTGTTTCACCCTTGATAATATACATGTTTTGATGCTGTTCTCTCAAAACATCCCACCCTCGACTTCTCCTACAGAGTCCAAAAGTCTGTTCTGTATATCTGTGTCTCTTTTTCTGTTTTGCATATAGGGTTATCGTTACCATCTTTCTAAATTCCATATATATGTGTTAGTATACTGTATCAGTCTTTATCTTTCTGGCTTACTTCACTCTGTATAGTGGGGTCCAGTTTCATCCATCTCATTAGAACTGATTCAAATGAATTATTTTTTAATGGCTGAGTAATATTCCATTGTGTATATGTACCACAGTTTCCTTATCCATTCATCTGCTGATGGGCATCTAGGTTCCTTCCATGTCCTGGCTATTATAAACAGTGCTGCCATGAACATTGGGGTGCACGTGTCTCTTTCAGATCTGGTTTCCTTGATGTGTATGTATGCCCAGAAGTGGGATTGCTGGGTACACAAAGATCTCCATGGATCTCCATAGAAAAAATTATTGACTGAAAATGTAGGAAAAAGTTAGGGCAAATGTTAGAAACAATGAAAAATGGTAAAAATAAAAAATGTAAATATTGTCTTATTTATATATTGAAAAATACTTTGTTTTAAATTATTTCACTTTAGCCATACTTTATCTTTTGTAAAACAATACAATAATGGAGAAGCTACAAATGATTTTTTGTTACTGTAAAATATCTATACAATTTGGATATTGGTAGGATTAATTTTTTAAAAATCAGCCATTGTTAGTAGGTTAATATACAAGTTTGATGAATAACTCAATTTTCTCTGACTAGTTCAATGCAAATATACATAAGCCTATTGTAGTAACCATAATTTTTGATGGAAGAATTGTTTTGCATATTGGATTACAGTAACCCATTGCAATTAAGTCCACAGGAGAATATTTGCTAGTGATGAAACATGAAATGTACATAGATAACATTAAAATGGAACTTTTACTCCACTTGGTTAATCTGATACAGTGCCTGAAGAGCTACGGATGGAGGTTCGTAACATTGTAGAAGAGGTGGTGATCAAAACCATCCCCAAGAAAATGCACATTACTTTACTAGCATGTGAGATGAGTGCAACTGGATCAACAGACTGGTTCCAAATAGGAGAAAAAGTACGTCAAGGCTGTATATTGCAACTCTGCTTGTTTAACTTATATGCAGAGTGCATCATGTGAAATGTTACACAGTATGAATCACAAGTTGGAATATCAAGAACCTCAGATATGCAGATGACACCACCCTAATGACAGAAAGTGAAGAGCAACTAAAGAGCCTCTTAATGAAGGTGAAAGAGAAGAAAGAAAAAGCTGGCTTAAAACTCAACTTTCAGAAAACTAAGATCATGGCATCTGGTCCCATCACTTCATGGCAAATAAATGGGGAAATAATGGAAAC